AGGATTAGGGTTTTAGGAGAGATACTTTTTGAATAATTGTTCTTGCCTCCTTGATAATGAAACCCAGATTACATATTTATAGGAAAGATAGGAAAGCCTAATAATAAACCTAATTCTACTAAAATACTACTAACCCTAATAATAAATTATCCTAACATAATTAATAATAGAAACCCACAAGGAACGTGTTTCTATCAAAGAACCATGGCCTACAATATCCAACCTTAAGACTGATTGCCAAGGACATTCAGGCCATTCCAGTGTCAACAGTTGTCTTAGAGTCTGCATTTAGCACAAGTGGAAGATTATTGAACCCTCATCGTAGCCGGCTTGATGCGAAGACTGTGGAGGCTCTTATGTGCACCCAGAACTGGCTTGTGAATGAGATTCGTGGTAAGAAACTGCTTTTTGCTACTCTTATTCTTGTTGTTGACTGTGTAGTGTACTTTTTGTCCATTTTTAAATGTGGCCAGCATGCTATATATCCATTTGCTTATAATGTACTGTCTATATCAGTTTGCTTATACTATATTATAACCAACCCCCATAGCCACATTTTGGATTATTATACTTCAAAAATAGTTAAGCTTTTACTTCCTGTTTCTTCTTCTCATGCTTGCTAGCTAGCTGCTATAACTTCTCTTTGTCCTTGGATGGCCTTTATCATCAAAAGAACATATGGGAAAAAGTCAGCCTGAACTCTGCAGCTGTTATGAACATAATAATAGCCCAAAATGGTGAAAGGGAAGTGACTTTGTGATATCTATGGCATAACTAGTATAAACAATATTGAACTATCTTTCTCTCCTGACAATTCTTAGTTATAATTATGTTATTTTGCAGGTGTAACCATATTTTCTCCCGATGTTGGTGGTTTGACTCAAACTATCTTCCGTGAGAATGATGGTGGTGATGAAGAAGTGATGGAATATGAGAATTGAGAAACATGTCATTGCTAAATGTGAGCCCCAGTTAGCCTTGATACATATCATACCCTGGTTTAGCTTCTGTCGTGTGAAGTTTGATTGGTTGGGAGCATTGTTTACCTTCTGAAGCTTTTAATATTAGGTGGAAGTGATTTGGGATTGATTACTTCTTAGAACGTGGTTGCTTTATGATTTACTTAATGAAAAATGTTTATATAATATCCAGTGATTGACCTGTTTCATTAGGAAATTTTCAGTTATCTCTATCCTCTATGTTACTAGATTTTATTTCACTTTTCTCCCTGCACTTGCAGCTTCTAGTTCCTGGTGCATCTAATGGTTGGTTGTTTCTTTTATGTGGTGTCATTATGACTTAGATTGAAGGTGGTGTTGGTGGCGGCGTTGCAGTTGCTGCATCAGCTGCCGAGGCAATGAAGAAAGAGAAAGTGGAAGACATGAAGAGAGTTGAACTTCTGCAGTTGTTAACTTCAAGACTGGCTTTTCTGCAATTGCTCATATCAGTGGCTGAACTTTAGTGTCTCAATAATACCAAATATTGTTAACTTCAAGACCGACTTTTCTGCCTTTCTTTGCTTCTTTGAGATTGCTTTAGGTGTTGATGGGGAAGGGTGGCTTTGTTAAAGGGAATTATGGCTACAAACAAAGAAAGAAAGAAAGAAGTCAACTTTGATTCTGGGAATTTATTCATTGTCTGCAATTTGTAGGAATTTCCCAGTTTCCAGCTTTGATTTCGTTTGGTACTGAACCAAACTTCTTGAAGACGAAACCTTAATAGGTACTTTGTGATGGATGCAAGTATTAGGCCAAGGGTAGTTTAGTATTTTGATAGGCTTAAGTCGTTTAGGGTTTCTCGTAAAAGTCGATATATTGTAGGTTAGTTTCTTTCATCAAGAATCAATAAAGAAATAATCAAATAATAGTTTATCGTATCTCCCAATCCTAATTTCCTCTCCTCTCTCTAAATCGGCTGCCGGTTACTTCTTGTTCTTCTTCCCTAAATCTTCGTCTAAATTTCTCCCTCTTTCTGTTTGTAATTGGTCCTATCACGACAATCTCGGGTGTCAAGATCCGTGCATTCATCACTTTTCTCTACTGTTTGTACAGATCATGAGCTTTCTTTCTTCTTCTCTTTTGTTTCTTTCAAAAGAAATTTTACAATTCTATATAGTATTGGTATTATAGGTTTTTGTCTTTATGGTACAACTTAAAATTGTACATTTACGTTATGGTACAACTTCAGATTGTACCTATACTTTTTGTACAAATTCTTTTATGGTACAACTTGAACTTGTACCTTTATGTGATGGTACAACTTCAAGTTGTAAAGTTGTACAATAACATAATGGTACAAATTGTTTTATGGTACAACCTAAACTTATACATTTAATGTTATGGTACAACTTTGAGTTGTACATTAAAGCACCAATGCTATATAGCATAATAGAAGTGCTCTTTTTTATGAAGGTGAAAGTTGCATTAAAAAGAATAAGAAAAAGAACACGAGTCTGAAAGTCGCACAAGAGGTGCAGACTCCCAACCCCAAAGGTCGAAAAAGCAACAGCAAACAATCCCAGGGGAAGCATCCCCCAACCAACAAAACAAAAAAAGGAAATGAAAGGGAAAGTAACAGCGAGCCGCAAGAGAAACACAGAAAGGTCACCAAAACAGAACAACCCCAGCCACACTCCCAAACTCAACCTAAAGCACCCCCGATCCCGGCAACGACGCCGAACAAAACACCAAAACAAAGGGACTACAGGTCAATTAGATCTCAGGCTCTCCATCCACTCCCAACCTTGCTCCCTGCAGATCCTACCATGAGCAACCAACCCATCCAAAATTGAGGCCATTGACTTCTAGAAAACAACAGCAGGACCGGGACCTTGATCTCTAAAAATGCGATGGTTTCTTTCCCTCCAAACCTGCCAACAAATCACATGTAGAGCACCATAAATGATCCAATCCTTCAGATTATCTGGTTTTTTGCTATCCCATCTCCTAATGGTTGTTAAGATGTCGCTCCCAGGAAGAATCAGATTGATGCATCTGCTTCCCATCGCACTCCAAACTTGCTTGGTGTAGCTACATTCAACGAACAAGTGATTAATAGTTTCCTCCGATTTGTGACACAAAGAGCATCTATTGGCCAGGGCTCATCCTCTCCTCTGCAGATCATCCAAGGTAAGAATTTTGTTGTGTGCCACCAACCACATGAAAGCTCGAATCTCGGTAGGTACTTCACTATGCCAAACAGAATCATTCGGGAAGTCGGGCACGCCAGGGCAGCTTCTACTAATCCAGTGCCTATACAAGAGACATACAGAAATCGTACAATCCGGTTTTGCTGACAATATCAACTTACTTGGCCCGAAAGGGACAAGATTAGAAGCCTCAGAACAAATAAGATTGTGCAAGTTGGATCTCTCCCTCTCAGCACCCCCTCTCAAAGTAATATTAAGATCAATATTCCATTATGTACGCGTACCTGTGATGTTGGCGAGGTCCGACACCCGGGCATCAGGCATGGCGGCGGCGACAGCAACTCTTGGAAAGGTTTCGGCCAGAATAAGGTTTGGAATCCAGCAGTCTTTCCAAAAAGACACCCAAGCACCACTCCCTGGTTCAATATGACAAACTTTCCAGAAGGAATCATATTCTTTTGTAATATTGGCCCAAACCGACCCTCCATATCCGTTCCTACATTTTTGCTCTGCCATTCCGAATCAGACGGGAATTTCTTGGAGATTAGCTCACGCCACCAACTGCCTCTGTCATTAGCATACTTCCATAGCCACTTAGTTAGAAGTGCCTTATTAAAACAGCTTAAATCCTTAACTCCAAGTCCCCCATTCTCCTTCAAAGCTTTACACAACTCCCATTTAACAAGAGGCATCTTACGCTCTTCTCTAGCCCCACACCAAATAAACCTTTTTCTGAATTCTTTCCATTTTCTTAACTACACCTCTAGGGGCCTGGAATAAAGAGAAGTAATAAACTGGTTGACTTCCCAAAACTGCATTATTCAGAACCAAACGACTTCCAAGCAAGAGGTACCTGCCTTTTCATCCTGCTAAACGCTTTTCAAATTTCTCTATGATAGGATCCCAAATGGCACTCGAATTAACCTTAGCTCCAAGAGGGAACCCCAGGTACTTCGTGACATCTGTAGTCCAATTACAACCAAACACAGCAGCAAAATACTCAGGATTAGGAACATCCCCGACGGCAATCATAACCGATTTTTCAAGATTGATCTTAAGCCCTGTGATTGCTTGAAAACAGACAAGAGTAGCCAGGATGTTAAGCACTTGTTCCGTGGAAGCATCGCAAAGAATCAGCGTGTCATCTGCGAACAACAAATGGGTGACCTCACCACTCCCTCTTAGCTCGTCCATACAGAAACCCCTGATTTTGCCTCCCTCTTTAAGCTTGGACAACATAAACGAGAGCAACTCCATAACAAGCACGAACAGACCCGGCGATAACGGATCTCCCTGGAGAAGACCCTTTTCGGATTTAAAGAACCCTTTTGCTTCTCCGTTAATAATTTTCGAGATGACCGGTTGAACACATCGCCCCACGGATTCACTCACCCCATTTCCTTGGGAACCCCAAGGCAAAGAGAACTTTAAACAGACAACTCCAACTAACATTATCAAACGCCTGCTCTATATCAAGCTTAAACATTAAACCCGGTTTCCGACTTTTCTTTCTACTGTCCAGGAGCTCAAAAGCTATAAGACCTGCCTCCGAGATCTGCCTACCCCGAACCGAAGCTTGCTGAGAAGGAGAAACCAGTTTTGGAAGCACCAAGCTAAGCCTTCGAGCCAAAATCTTGCTGATGAGTTTGTTTAGACTTCCCATCAAGCTAATGGGCCTAAGGTCATTGATGTCCTCAACCGCGTCTCTCTTTGGGACGAGACACAAGAAAGAGTGTGTGGCGCTAAGTGGAAGAGTGCCAGACTCGTGGAACTCAATCAAAGCTTGAAGGATCTCAATACGAATGAAGTCCCAGCACTTTTTAAAGAATTCCCACGAAAAACCATCAGGACCCGGAGCTTTCCATCCATCACTATCCCTAAGACTCTCCAAAGCCTCGCTTTCAGAGAAGTTGAGCACAAGAGAATTAGCTTCAGCGTTACTGATGACTCAGTATTTGCACATGTTTTCCCCTTTGTTTCTTGATTGTTTGAGCTTGAATTATCGTGTCTTTGGCCTATTTTATGCTAGGTTGTGTTCCTTTGTCACATTTCAGGTCCTAGCACATAAAGTGAAGCATAGGCGCAAGTTTCAAGTCAATCAGAGATCAATTGACGATTCGGGAGAAGAAACTCGGGTATGACCTGAAGAAGAATGGATTTCTACCTCACTTTATGGACAAAGAATCATGCAAGCTTGTCATGAAAAGAAAGAGAACGAGACTACGAGCGTCTGGGATCAAACGATGACTGATTCGGAGCCCGGACGTGGGAGAAACGAAGCATTAAACAGAGGCTGAGCAAGCCACACGGGCACAACCCACACGGCCGTGTGACCTGGCCATGTGGCCGTGTGGAAATCACCGAGCCTTCACACGGGCAGTTGGGAAAGCCACACGGCCGTGTGTCCTGGCCGTGTGAGTCGGGAATTGCTGTTTAAAACCCTATTTTCAGCAAAAGGAAAGGGGGAGAGCTGGGTTTTGGATCCCAATCACCCAAGGGACGAACCCTAGAGATAGAGAGCGACTTGGGAACATTCTTGGAGTTATTTTGGAGGATTTCTTCGCCATTGGAGCTCGGGAATCAAGCTTGGAGATGGAGATTGAAGATCTAGATCAGATTTCTGCAGTCTCTCTCTTCTCTATGGAGTAACTTCCCTTCACTTAGGTTTTGAGGAACCTTAGTTCCATGAGTTAGGATCTTTCTTGTATGAAGTTTTGGATGCTATATTGTTTGATTATAATCGAATGATGCATGTTTATTGAGTCAATTGAAGTCTAATCAACTTTTCCTGATTCCTGCTGCAATCTGAGATAGATAGAATCTGATTAGGTTGCTAGAGTCTCATCATTCGGTAGTAGGAGATTGGCTATACGAGAGTTAGCCAGTTTACTGCTTTGTACTGGAATCCAATTCCAGTAGTGGAGTTCTGTGCTTATTGCTTCAGCTTTCTATCCCGGTGAAGACTAGTCGTCTGCCGGATAGTTAGACTGAGAGGGTTTGGTCAGCTTAAGAGATTCCAAGCTACTGTCGGATCTTCCGCAGTTTAATCAACAGTAAATCAACCAAAAGGAATTACAACTTGGACCTAATTGAGGAGCTAGGGGGAATCATACCTAAGTGAGTTCCCAAACTGTAATTAGTAGTTTTACTTAGTTTAGTTAGTAGAGTAGTTTAGTTAATCAATCCTTAATCTAGTTTGCTAGATAATGAACTGAAGCTGAGTAATAGTAACTCTAGAGACCCATGGATTCGATATTTATTACTTGTGCCACTATACTGCGGTCCCTTTCATTGGTTACACTTGGCCATTGTTAGGTGTTGTGTTTTAGAGCATCAAGTTTTTGGCGCCGTTGCCGGGGACTTTCTAGAGTATTAGGAAAGGCAGAAGTTTGTTACTTTAGCGTTTTTCTTTTCTTTTCTTTTCCACCCTTGCTTTTCACTTGGGTGTTTTTGTTTTTGTTGGTGCGGATATGAATCATGGATCCTAATGGCTTCTCCAATCATTGGGGGTATCCACCACCATCCGGGTGGTATTACCCTGCGACTCCCTACAGCAATCAAGGAGGAGAAGACTATGGATTCGGGTTCCAGTACCAACCCCTTTACTACGGAGAACAATCAGACCCCTGGGCATATCAAGAACAACCTCATTACCAAGAAGACTTTCTCCCACAACCAGAAGGGCAATCGGAGCTGGAGTTACCCATGGCGGCCTTTACGGGCCACTCTGCAGAGCCATGCTACACTTCACTGGAGGATCCGAACGAACAATTAAGGCTTCTCGTGGAGCAGTTTGCTCGAGACACTGAGAAATCATGCTCCAAGATGGATATTCAAATCAAAGCCCTTGCCACTTCCGATCCCTCATTTCTCCATGATATGGAGGAGACTGTTCAACACTCAGCGAAGCGAACAGAGTGGGTGAAGCAAGTTTGCTCACATCTTGCTCAAGATCACCTTTCTGCTGCCACGCTAGAAGAGGTGGAGGATGACAAAGGCTATGGGAGCGTTGAGGAGCATACAGAAGTTATCACAGAGAACTCCCATGATAACCATGATCAGGAAAGTCCTTTGGTTGCAGACCACACCTTTCCTCAATTATGCTCTAACATGCTGGGCCCGTGCGAGGAGATGCAAGATGATCCCATTGAAGAAATTGCTTGGCGACTTGCTCTCCAATCTGTTCTAGAAGAAGAAGAGCGAGCAAGGATGAGGAAGGAAGTTGTGGATGATGAGGAAGAAAGAAAAGAAGAGTTGGTTCTTGATCTTTTCCCAGGGGAGAGACCACATTTTGAAGAAGGAAGGGGGGTTGAGGAAGCAATTGGCGTCCAGGCTGAGGATGAAGTTGAGGTGGAAGAGGCATGCACCGGCCATGAGTTGCAAGTAATATCCCCACCAAACTTTGAGGAACTGCTTGGCAAGGACCCATTTGTAGTGTCTCTTTGCCAGACCAAGGCCACATCGACATCGGTCCCTCTTGGTGGACGTGATGGTGGTCGGTCGATGCTGTCATATCTGGTTTGGGGCAATGAGACGAGAGAAGAGAAGAAGAGGTCTCGAGGGTGGAGACTTCATCTGCATCAAGTACATGAGCCTTCATAACCTGCCACACCACATGCTCGTGACTTGAGACTCCACCTCATCGACGAGAACCTCAACTTCAAGGAGGTTCTAGCATGGACCGAAACTTAGGAGCCATCGTCCGGCTCACGACGTGAAAAAAGCGCTTGTTGGGAGGCAACCCAACCAGTCGGTTTGCATTTCTTTCTCTATTTCTCCTCGGTTGAGTCAGTTTTGTTATTTGATTTTTAGAGTCAATAACTCAACCTTTGTGAGATTTTGTGTGGTGTTTGTGTTCTGATTACTCTCTCTTCCTGGAATGCACTGCCTGACCCGTACATCATCATTCACCCTTGATCTGGTAACTTCGTTCTACCCTCCTTATCTTTCCTCCATTGAGGACAATGTCGTGCTTAAGTGTGGGGGGGTGTTCGATTATGTATGCGGGTGAATGTTTGGCTGTTTGTGTGCTTGGAGCCTAGTTCATTGTCCAAATTTTTAAATTTGAGGGCTCCAAGTATGTGTTTCCTTGCAAATTGCCTGCTCAGTATGCTTTGAATTGACAGTCTCTATAGTAATGTGCAACCTAGGGAGGTAGTGTAGCACTATGGAGGATGTTGAAGTATAAGATTTTTCCTATCTAGCTCTCTGTTGTGCCAGTTGATTTTGTGAATTAGTGGAGCTAAGACCGTTGAATTCATGTGGTAATGGTGACTCTGTTTGGATTATGTTATGGACTCGTGTATCGAACATGGTGCTCATATGGAAAATGGGAAGCAGTTGGTCCTCCATGTCAAAATCATTAAATCTTAAACATGGGGTAAGCCCAACGTGTGCGGCACCGTTCATTGCACAAAATCGGGTTTTGGAAGAGATTTTAGTGATCCTTAGTGGGGTACTCCTACAAGGTGAAGCTAAGTTGTCTCTAGTACAAGTAAAACTTCCACCCGTTGAACAGTTTGCCTACTTGAGGATGTGTTTTTAAGGGCACGGATAGAACTTCCGACCCCCCTTAATTTCATTGACCCTCCACATGAGTTGAGGAAAAGGAGTTAAAAGAAGTACTTTGGCGAGCTCCAGATGTACATAAATTGCTCTTGCTCGACTAATAAGGGTCGACCGTGCAAAAGACTGCAGTTGGAACCCCACCAAATGAAAGAAAAAATGTAAATGAAAGTGAGAAAAAGGGGTTCCAACGGTGAAATGAAGTGAAAGAGCACCCCGGTACAACGAATCCTTGGTTGTGAATGGTGTGAGTCCCTTTATCCATGAACTGACTGTCTTACTTCTACTTTTTCTCATGATCCTCGCTTGAGTCTAGTACTCGCATTGAGAGAGATAGGGAACGTCTTAGAAGACCAGTTGACCTCGTAAGCTGCTATATGATCTAGGAAATCCTCTACCGATGATCGGGGTTGTATGTTGCTATAGAGCTCTGGAGAGCTGCATTGGTTTGAGTTAGGTTTGCTTGGGGACAAGCAAACAGTTAAGTGTGGGGGGATTTGATGACTCAGTATTTGCACATGTTTTCCCCTTTGTTTCTTGATTGTTTGAGCTTGAATTATCGTGTCTTTGGCCTATTTTATGCTAGGTTGTGTTCCTTTGTCACATTTCAGGTCCTAGCACATAAAGTGAAGCATATGCGCAAGTTTCAAGTCAATCAGAGATCAATTGACGATTCGGGAGAAGAAACTCGGGTATGACCTGAAGAAGAATGGATTTCTACCTCACTTTATGGACAAAGAATCATGCAAGCTTGTCATGAAAAGAAAGAGGACGAGACTACGAGCGTCTGGGATCAAACGACGACTGATTCGGAGCCCGGACGTGGGAGAAACGAAGCATTAAACAGAGGCTGAGCAAGCCACACGGTCACAACCCACATGGCCGTGTGACCTGGCCATGTGGCCGTGTGGAAATCACCGAGCCTTCACACGGGCAGCTGGGAAAGCCACACGGCCGTGTGTCCTGGCCGTGTGAGTCGGGAATTGCTGTTTAAAACCCTATTTTCAGCAAAAGGAAAGGGGGAGAGCTGGGTTTTGGATCCCAATCACCCAAGGGACGAACCCTAGAGATAGAGAGCGACTTGGGAACATTCTTGGAGCTATTTTGGAGGATTTCTTCGCCATTGGAGCTCGGGAATCAAGCTTGGAGATGGAGATTGAAGATCTAGATCAGATTTCTGCAGTCTCTCTCTTCTCTATGGAGTAACTTCCCTTCACTTAGGTTTTGAGGAACCTTAGTTCCATGAGTTAGGATCTTTCTTGTATGAAGGTTTGGATGCTATATTGTTTGATTATAATCGAATGATGCATGTTTATTGAGTCAATTGAAGTCTGATCAACTTTTCCTGATTCCTGCTGCAATCTGAGATAGATAGAATCTGATTAGGTTGCTAGAGTCTCATCATTCGGTAGTAGGAGATTGGCTATACGAGAGTTAGCCAGTTTACTGCTTTGTACTGGAATCCAATTCCAGTAGTGGAGTTCTGTGCTTATTGCTTCAGCTTTCTATCCCGGTGAAGACTAGTCGTCTGCCGGATAGTTAGACTGAGAGGGTTTGGTCAGCTTAAGAGATTCCAAGCTACTGTCGGATCTTCCGCAGTTTAATCAACAGTAAATCAACCAAAAGGAATTACAACTTGGACCTAATTGAGGAGCTAGGGGGAATCATACCTAAGTGAGTTCCCAAACTGTAATTAGTAGTTTTACTTAGTTTAGTTAGTAGAGTAGTTTAGTTAATCAATCCTTAATCTAGTTTGCTAGATAATGAACTGAAGCTGAGTAATAGTAACTCTAGAGTCCCATGGATTCGATATTTATTACTTGTGCCACTATACTGCGGTCCCTTTCATTGGTTACACTTGGCCATTGTTAGGTGTTGTGTTTTAGAGCATCAAGTTTTTGGCGCCGTTGCTGGGGACTTTCTAGAGTATTAGGAAAGGCAGAAGTTTGTTACTTTAGCGTTTTTCTTTTCTTTTCTTTTCCACCCTTGCTTTTCACTTGGGTGTTTTTGTTTTTGTTGGTGCGGATATGAATCAAGGAATTTGTTGTGTTTTAGAGCATCAGTTACTCAACCTGTTCGTCCCAAAATCTCTTAGAAAAGGTCGCTTAGCAACAGATTCCTTGTAGAAGGAGATGTAAAAATCAACCATCCCTCCAGCCAGTTCCTCCCTGCCTTCAAACCTCACCCCTTGAATATATAAACATTCAACCATGTTGAATTTCTTCTTAAAATTAGCCATCACATTAAAGAACCTCGTATTATCGTCCCCAAACTTCAGCCTGTGTTCATTTGCTTTCTGCCTCCAAGAAATTTCCTGTAGAAAAAGAAGTCTACTCAACTCCATTTTGAGTCCCTGTCGTTCCATCACCTCGTTATTATTCAATAATCTGCCCTCCTCGGATGAATCTAGATCTTTAATTCTGAACAGAGCTTCCTCAATCTGGGTGTTAATATTACCGAAGACCCTCTTGTTCCACTCCTTAATAAGACCCTTCAGATTCTACAATCTCTTGCACCACCGAAAGGCTGCCCCTCTACCTTCAATAGCCGTCCTCATCCACGTTTCCATTTCCACAAAGAACCTCTCATCATGAAGCCACATGATTTCAAACTTCCGTGGTCTTTTGGCTCTCCCTGAATCCCCCCATCTGATAAGCAGAGGGTTATGGTCCGGTTCAACACGCTCAAGAGCCATCAAGGAGCAATTAGGGAACAAGCTGTTGAAATCCGAGGAAACAAAAACTCTATCAATACGGGACAGAGAATTACTCCCATCACCCCTGCACCAAGTAAATAAACTGCCACTAAGAGGGAGTTCAATAAGGGCATTACTCTCAATACAGTCGTTAAACTCCTCCATTAGATTAACATTCCTTCTAACTCCTCTATAATCACCATGATTACGCACCAAGTTAAAATCTCCGGCAATACATAGCGGTAGCTCTGTGGTCAAACACAGATCATGAATCTCCCGAATGAAGGCCAATTTATTCTCTCTATCCTGCGGACCATAAACCACAGCAAAAGACCAGATTTTCAACGTGCTCAGCTCTTGAAGAATAATAAGTAGATAAAATGTCCCAATTCTAGTGTCCAGGACTTGGAAGTAATTTTTATCCCAGTGAATTGCGATTCCTCCTGCACTATTATCAGCATTCTTGGCTGCCCAAGCCCTGTCCCTGTTTCCACTGACATCCGAAATAAGATCATCATTGCACTGATTCCACTTGGTTTCAACAAGACCCACGATACTGGCCTTTCTTCGAGCAAGTAACCTCTTAACCCTTCCCCTCTTACCGAAATCACCCAGACCTATAACATTCCACACAATAATGGACTGATTCATCATACCTTAGAAGTAGAACCTTCCTCTGCCATCCTCTTACTTCCTATGGACCCAAATGCTGGAGCTTCTACAAGCCCTAACCTACGCTTCTCCATTTCTAATTTCGACCTGTGAGGTCTCACCTTCCGCTGGTGTAGGATCCTGGCCTTATTCTCAATAATTCGCTCAGCTTCAGCTTGACCATCTTCATGCTCCAGATTGAACAAGGAGCCCATTTTGCGACTTCTAGCAATTAGGGTGTCCACATCAAACGGGAACTCTTCCAGCCTCCACTCTATTCCTTGGCTATCCGGGACACATGAAGGAGATGGTAATTCTGGATCTGTTTCAGTAATCGTGGATATGCCGATGTTTGACGCTGGTGAGTTTGGGGGGTTGTTGGTCAATTGGTATTGGGACGAGGTTGAACTGGGGAGGGTGACTGGTTGGGGATTAAGGGAGTGATTTGCAAAAGGAGAGGCAGAAAGAATGATGCTTGATTGTAAGGGTTCTGACTCGACTCTACTGTCACCCTAGGAATTGGCCAAGTGAAACCACTTCCTAAAGCGTAGTATAGCGGGTTAGGTTTATATGTCAACCCGGGTCCTAGATTTGATGACTACTCAGTGAATTCTTGTTATCTAGCAATGAAACTGGAATGCAAGTCTAAACTAACAAACTAACAAAGCAAGTAAACGGTTGTATTCAGGTTAAGAGAGGTCACCCGGATATGGTTCCCCCTAGACTGCAGTTAAGTCGGATTGTAATTACCAAGTTCAGTTTCTATGATAGTTATACTGCGGAAGGTTCTTAAACAGCCTGAAGTCTCGACTAAAGGTCTTCAGACCCTCTCAATCTGAGTCTCTAGCGGGCGACTAACCTCCACCGGAGTAAACAGATTGAGGCCTTAACAAACAAAACCTCCACTATCGGAGTAAATCCGGTACAGAATAGTGAGTTGGCTCCTCGACTAAAGTCACCAACTCCCTACCTTCAATCAAGGATGCTCTATCAACCTAGGCAGATATTCTCATTCTAGGTCAAAGCAGAAACAACAGGAATTTGATCAGGATTCAAGTCATTCAATCATTCAAACCTCAATCGAATATAATCAAATCATAGAATCAGTACTTGGGTTCATACAACCAAAGCCTAACATACAAATCTAGGGTTCTCCATACCCAGATGAATGGGAGAACTACTCCATAGAGAAAGAGGCAAAAGCAGAATCAGACGCGGAATTCATACTGTGAAGGATGGATTCCTGCTCCTGGACGTTGATTGGCACTTCTCCAAGCTCAAACTGGCCTCCAATGGTGATGAAGATCAAGCTAGGGAACTTGGAGACTCTTGTTCGTCGCTTTCTCTCTCTAGGAATCGCTCTGTCTCTCTAAAACTCGAATCCCTCGACTTGTGGCTGAAAATCTGCTTAAAAGCAGAAAATCCCGACTCACACGGCCAGGGTGGCACGGCCGTGTGGCTTACCCAGTTGCCCGTGTGAGTCAAAACGCTGCGTTCCAATTAGTTCGATCTTCAGGCTTCTCACACGGCCAGGGTCTCACGGCCGTGTGAGATTTCCATCTGCCCGTGTTTGCTCTCGGCGAAACTCGCACGGCCAAACCACTCCTTCACACGGCCGTGTGAACATCAGGGCAGGCCGTGTTTGCTCTCGCACAATCTCACACGGCCAAAGTGGTCACTTGCACGGCCGTGTGAGTTGTGGGTGTGCCAGTGTGACCTCCTTTGTGACTTGTCTCGCGCCCGATCTTCGCCCAATCGACCCCGAACTCGCTCCTAAACCTTCATTCACTTGCCAGGACCTGAAATATCACAAACAAGCACAACCTAGCGTGAAATCGGTCTAAAACACGAGAAACCACATCTCAAACGGTGTAAGAACAGGGGTGAAAACATGTGTAATTAACGGTCTATCAGGTTCAAAATCAAAGTTGGGTTCGGAGGAGGGGACTGTGTCAATCCAGGGGGAACTAAGAGCTTGGGTTGAGGTAGGAAAAGGACTGGCTTTGGCAATTGAAGGTTGGAAGGAAGAGAAGAGGGTTCTGGGTGGGTTTGAGGAAATGGTAATCATATGGAACGGATGGGTAGAGGATAACCAGCTAAAGATTTGAAGGTTGGGTATTGGGTGGGGGATTGGGTTTAGAATAAAGTGGGTAAGAGTGAGTGAGCTCAGGACTCTAGGGAAGAGAGTGGGTTTATCCAGAACAGGGTTAATGGGCCTCTGATTTGATCCAACCAGCATGCAAGAGGTGTCAGTTGCGTTCGACATACCAGATCCAAAGGGTTCAGAAGGCTTGGCCCATATAGGCCCGAACTTCCTAACCAAAACTTTTTTAACCCGACCTCTTTGCGTTGGCCCAACTGGAGACAATGGAGGGCCTGATTTGCGATTTGAATTTTCAGGAAACCTAACTTCACTCCCTGTACCCGCCGTCATGCATCCACGCGAGCGACCGTTCCCATGCAGCGCTTCATCTTCCGTAATTAATCTCATCGACACTCTTCTCGGTTGAGAGTCCAATAATGATGACGCCTCATCAAGGTCCGCCCGCACGACTTTCATCCGATACCATCTACCGGCGAATAAGATCGGGGTGCAATCCGGCAAGAAATTATCAACCCTAACCCGAATTCTGATAAAATCGGCCGACCAGTGATTCCAATCAACTTCAACTAAGAACCCACAGAATTTCTCGATCTCTTTGATGAGGTCAACGCTTTTCAGATGACAGGGGATTCCGGTGACTAGAATCCACATGGTATCCGAAGCGTCTCCCCTGCTCTCTTCTTTCCAGTACGAGACTATGATTGAAAGATTCTGAAAACTGCATTGATCAAAGCTTCTAACACGCATTGCCTGATGCCAGCTCGGGCAGATAAGCATCCATTTTCCAATCCCCTTGTCAATCCAGCCATAATTTGAATCAATGGCCCACTTTTTGTTAGCCCATCTCTTGAACTCATCGGCAGTAGATTGTGTGCAGATGTTGATTGATTTGGAAGAGAGTTGGATCTCCAGGCACTTTCCCATTAGATCTTGTCTGTTCTGAACTCCTTCATCACCAACTTCTATGAATCTATCCCTCCTAGAGCCTTTGATACAGCACTTCCCTGCACCATAAAATCCTCCACTTTTAACAACTTCTGCAAACGTCCTGACTTGCTGACCCGACGGAGGCTGGAACACAAGATGTTCGAATGGTCTCTCTAAATAGCTCCCCATAGCCCTTCGTTCAAGCGTATAGAAGTCCTGCAGTAAGTCGATGAGGGAGGCCCACCCCTTCTTGCCATCCGGTTCCGATATCAAAACCTTAAACACTCTTCCAGTGGCAACCATTTCAGAGATCTGAAGAACAGCTTTATTTTTAAGAGCGGTTCTGCCAACATGAATCACACGTTCTCCACTTCTCTTAATATACTCTTTTCCAAATTTCCAGTCTCTCATTGCCGCTGTCTGAAGAATGCCCTGTAACCAATCTAGCAAATCTTCACTCAGCAGAACAAACCACCTTTTCGAAGATTCTTTCACCTATAGCCGGTACCAGACAGCACCGCCACCTTCTTCTCTTTCAACCGAGACCAGCTTGGTTACAAACCTTTCATTCAGCGAAAACTCATCCAATCGTCTACCATCACCGCCGCCAAAACCTTGACCTGTGACCTGCGCAAACAACCAGAAAAGGAAGCAACAGAAGGATTAGCCCCTACCCTTTCGCTCACCCTCTCCAGATCTCTCCACTGCTGGTTTCTCCCAGAACTAGCGCCCCGACCTATCGCCTTCTTTCAAATCCTTCAACATAGCTAATTGGAATAGTTCCATAATGCATTATAGGTTGTAATTTACTCCCCTGCTAGGACTGCAACTCCAAAAGGATCTGGGTTCTGGGAAACTTGGGAAGTGGAAGACCCCAACCTCCTCGACTCACTCCTTCCGTGACCCGCGTACTCTCTCATTCAGTCCCTCCTCCCGGTGGCGACAATTTTGCCACCGCCTCCCCATGCTCCAAAACCCCAACCTCCGCGACTCTCCCCTTCCGCGTACTCTTTCCCTTCTCCGGCCAACGGCAATTTCGCCACCGCCTTCCCCGCTCCCCCTGCTCCAAAACTCCAACCTCCGCGACTCGCTCTCCGACCTCTCCAAATCAAAACTAGTGAAAGCCCTGGTCCTCGATTTCTTCTGCAATGCCTCCGTCCGAATCACTGACGAGCTCGGATTCCCCTTCCATTCGCAAGCAGCCGCTCGACGCTCTTCATCGGAACCACAAATTCTTGCTAGGTATAAGCCACCATCAATCCACGAAGTTGGAGCACAGCTCCAGGTACACTGGCAAACCAGGTACCAGCTCCACCAGCGACGTTTTCCGGTTGTCGGCGAACTGTCAGAGATCGGTCGACGGAGGAAATTCCGGCGGCATGTTTCACTGCTGAATTTGCATATCAATTTACTATTTAGTACCTGAACTTTATAAAGAAATAAAAACAGGTCCAGCATTATGCATGAAAAATTATAATTTGATACTTCATAATTTATTGTTTTACATTTGGTACCTTAAAAAATAAATATCTACAAACAAATCCAAAGTGATGGGTACCCATATCCAACCCATATCTATTTTCACTTTGATAATAAAATCCAAATCCAACCCCGCCTACCACCCAAGTACTATCCAAACCCATATAGAATAAATCCATACCCTACGGGCCTACCCATAGTAGATGGGTATAATTGGGTTTGGGCAAAAATACTAATGGGTGGGTAATTGTCATGCCTAGGTGGCATTTAAGCAAGTTGATTTCTCTCAATAAGAACTCTCTCGGCACTTATCTCTCTAGAAACTCGACTGACTTGATAGTTGGAGTGCTAACGGGCCGCGAAGGCCCCCGTGTGCCCATTTTACGCAGGGTGCAGGCGCCCCCATCGAAGTGCCAGCGTGGATTCCTGTTCTCGAAGGCCTTTGACGTCCTCGTCACAGATCCGGTCAAGAGTGGAATTCGGCTGACCCGTACGGAGTTTCGTGGCTTAAACAAGAAGCATTACGTAAGGTTTTCGTAACGACTTAGCAGTTTACGTAACGCGAGATTAATACTCATTACGTAAAGGGACCTTCCATTACGTAAGGTTTCCGTAATGACATTTTACAACTGTTACGTAAAACACACATCCATTATGTAACGATAGTTATTTCTTACGTAACACTTAAAGCATTACGTAAGGCTTTCGTAACGACTTAGCACTTTATGTAACGCGAGCTTAATACTCATTACGTAACGGGACCTTCCAATACGTAAGATTTCTGTAATGACATTTTACAATTGTTACGTAAAATACACATCCATTACGTAAAGTTTACGTAATGATAGTTAATTCTTACATAACAGTTAAATCACAAGCATTGCGTAAGACTTCCGTAATAACTTATCATTTTACGTAACACGATTTTAATACTCATTACGTAGAAGGACCTTCTTTTACGTAAAGGTTATGGAACATAGTTATTTCTTAAGTAACAATTAAATAGGAAACGTTGCGTAAGGCTTCCGTAATTATTTTATAGTTTACGTAATGCAAGCTTGGTCAGAACCTTACGTAAAATAACCGTCTATTACGTAATACTTCTGTAATGACCTTATACAACTGTTACGTAAGATTACAATAGGTTACATAACAATTACGTAATGCCTATTATATTTCACGTAATGTGACTCGTAAAACCTGCTATATCAAATAAAAAAAATTCAAGTTTCCTTACTTCAAGTTACGTAAGAATTCTTTTGCATGAATGTTAGATTGTGAACGAAAGTCAGACACGGATTTGCATTATAGGGAACATAAAAAGAAGTAGGGGTGGCTATTTGGACCGGGACCTGATTGAAAACCGGAAACCGGACCGTATAACCCGGAACGAGACCGGACCGGGACCGGATAGTAAACAATCCAATCCAATCTTTGGGCTTAGATGTGAGGTAAAAAATCGGATAAGAGAGCTCAACACCCAAAACTTAAGGGTAATTTGCATAAACGGTCACAAACCTTTGCATTTAGTACAAAACTTAACCAACTCCTCACCCTTTAAGGCCTTAGGCCACTCAAATCCCACAATCTCAATGTAAAATCAAGACCGAATTGGGACCGAACCGGATCAAAACCGGACCGGATCAAGACCGGACTGTATCCAATCCAATCTTCGGTCCTTATATTTTCAAAAAGACCGGACTGGACCGGATCAATTTGGGCCAATTTAACCGGACCGGACCGTATAGCCACCCCTAAAAAGAAGGATCAGCCCAGATGGATTAGAAATTGGAATCATTCTTTGAAAACGAAGCAATGAATAAATTAAATGCCTAAAGGTGACAAAATAAAGTTAATAAACAGTCCTATAGTAGTAGGGTGAGCAGCATGCGCCTCTGAAACAAAAAGCTCCATTGATTTAACAGCAACAGAAGAGCCAGATCTCTATCTTGGTTGGTTTTAGCTTTATTATGCGCACAAAAGGACGTCAAAGATGTCGGACGCTAATCCCAATATTGAACTTGAACACACACCAATCCATTTTCTTTCCTTCCATCCCCACTAGTCCTGCCCTGCATCTTGGTCCGAAAACCATATCTGATGTCGAAAAAAGCGCCATCTAATTCTATCTCCAAAGACAACACTTTTTTGTGTCTTGTTTTCCTCGATCTTATATTTATGTTTCCCTTATGTATGTTTTTGTTTTGTCGTCTTGCTGTTCGTTGCTCTGTTGTGTTTCACACTGATGAACAACAGGTCAGGTATCGTCATCAGACCCATGTCTAGCAGGCTCATTACCGAGTTGCTTTTTGCAGCAACAACTGATCACCAATCCAACAACTACTGGAAAAGTGACTGTCCAAATGGTTCATTGCGCCCGATGGTATAGCACGGGCCAATGTCTAATGTCATATTTGGTTGAGCAATGGGAGAGCTAGAAATTCCAGTGACTAGAAGTAAAAAAAGATTAAGGAATTTGGATTTTAATGGCCAAGTAGGAGGTTATGGAGACTTACCAATCATTCTATTTCTCGTATCGATAGCACATTTTCTAAATATAGTTCGGAAGTTCGCGCCCTAAATTATTTATAGCACTGCTTGTGCAGTTGAATGATGATGTGTATGCGCTGTACATGGGATTTGGACCGTGATTGGGCCGGCACGGCACGGGCACGCTTCAGGCCCATTTATTTCATGTCGTGCTTGGCACGACCCGTTAGTTTTTGTGCTGTGTCATGCCATGCAAGTCTATTTGTTAACTTTGCTAGGCACAGCCTAGACTCGGGCACGGTTCAAATCGTGTCGTGCCTATCTCGTATTCGTGTTTAATGAAAAGGACGAAAACAAAAGAGAGAATGAAAAGGAGGGTGAAAATTGGACGAAGGAAAATAGTATTAACCGATAACGTTTGAAAAAAGTAACAAATCAGGGGGGAAAGAAAATTGGAAGTATAGCGAGTGTGATTTGGCTTTGTTTAATTCTTTGTCCATTTTTACTTATGTTAGTAATTACATATATATCTTTATGACACTTCTAACAACAAAAAATAATTATTTTTCTACTTGTTTTTTTTTTTTGTAATATTTGAACCTATAATTCTTTTTATATTTATTTTTTATCAAATAAATATTATTCTCGTGCCATGTCCGTTCTTGTACTCAATAAAGTCTCAAAAATATTAGGCACGACACGACCCACTTATATACCGTGTCGTGCTCGTGCTCGTGCCCATGAAGTTTAGGCCCGACACGACCCATAAATTATTCGTGCTCGTACCTGGCTTACACATTTATTTCGTGCCCGTGCTCGTGCCATGCTCTAACAGTGCCCAGTGGCGGATACATGGTGCTTTAGGGGTGTCCCGGGACACCCCTAAAATTTGGGATAACGATTAGCCAACCTTCGGTAGTAATTTCGTATGGATAAAAAAAATATAATCGATAATCCAGGACACCCCTAAAAATTGAAAAAACGATTATCTTACTCTCGATAGTAGTTTGCATATGATTTAAAAAATAGAAGTGGTAGTCTGTGATATTCAAACCTAGGGTACACTACTATTATTAAACTTATTCTACATTAGGTTATAACTCATGTGTTGTTCTATTTTAAACATTATGTAATAGTAAAAACACGATTCTTTATCCCCAGGGGGTATCCCTTATTTGAATTGACTTTATGGTAACACGGAGTGTTGAAAAAATCTTTTCAACTTTGAGTTACATCATAAAGAAGGTTGGAAATTGAATATGCGATAAGTTTATGAATTATTGTCTACTACAATATACAGATTTGTTGAGCAGTGTAGACATCGAATCTATTTTATATTTTTCCGAAATATGAAAACACATAGTGGCTTTTTTTCAAAAAAATTGTACTAATTGGATATTTTCTGATTTATGAATTATTTAATTTAATTATTTAATTATTAATTTAATTTTTGAAAGAGGACACCCCTACAAAAAAATTCTGGATCCGCCACTTATCGTGCCGTGTCGTGCTAGCCTGTGGGCGGCACGGCCCTGTGCCCACGTACAGTATACACAGACTGATATCGTTGGAGGATTGAGACCCCAGCCAATATCCGATCACATCGACCCTCTAAACTTGCAGACCAAATTACTGTTTAAAGACGAGATAATTGATAACGGATTTCAATAATGTGTAAGTTTGGAATCAGTAGTATGGGTGTTCAAACGGTTTGGTTACCGTGGTAACCGTTTTAACCAGTACTATTTGGATAATTTGGTTTGGTTAATTTGAATAATTGGTTTGGTTTGGTTAAAGTTTTTAGCTTGTTTGGTTTAGGTGGTTTGGTTTGGTTTCAGACAATCCTAACCAGTCAAACCAAATTAACCAGTTAATTAATTAGTCATATATCTAGCATATATTATATACACATACTTAATACTTTGCATAACAACTCAAGAGTTAACGTTCATCCCTTTTAGACTTATATAAAATATAAAGCTCAATATTGCTCATATAGTGTATATTTGTATATATAAATTGTAGACCACAACATATGGACGTCTAATTTAGATAAATTTCATACATTATGATGGATGAAAACTTGAAAGGAAGGTCATTTACAGTCTATAATAATTGCTAAGAGACTAAGTCAATTTACACAAACACAACAATTCATTAACTCATACCATTGTCATAAATTTTTGTTAGGTGAATACTTCTATACTAATCGTAAGATAATTGTCTTAGTTGCATGTATTTTTGTTAAGGGTCAACTATAACTACGTGTTGATTGTTATGTTTTATTCATTATATAAATTGCGAATTGTTGCATTAACCGGAAAATTTTCATCATCAATGATAATGTGATTTTATATTGGTTAATCTGGTTAACCAATTAACCAAACTGATTAAATTTTAGTTTGGTTAATTTGGTTGTTGTATTAGTTTGGACGGTTTGGTTATGATATTGTATTCTATGGTTAATGAAATTTAGCCTTATTTGGTTTGGTTATAACCATAGTAACCATTTGAACACCCTAAGCAGTAGCTAGTTATAGGCGGACGACTGATGTCAATGATTGGTCAAGAGTATCGAGCACCAAACAAGTGATGCTTTCCCTTCTTCTCCTTTTTCAGATTTTAGTCTGGTTTAGTTCTGTAAGCAAGCAAGCAAGCAGAGACTCCAAAATCATGCTTTCTCGTATTACCAAGCTTAAATCTGAGACAGAGGAATAGAAGTGAAATTGCCCCATCTCAATGGCTAAAGAAAGAATCATTCCCACCCAACAGAATATCTTTAGTTGTCTGCTTCTCTTTAGCTATAGCTGCTGCCTTTAATAAAGCCTTCACCTTTATTGAAAATTAAAAAAAAAAACCCACTCCAAATTTCAAAAGAGAAAATCCCCCATTTATAGGGGAACCTCTGTCTCTCTTCCTCTTCTCCCACACATTGCTTGTTTTCACCACTTCACTCAAAGAACCACTCTACCCAGTACTAAAACAACCCAAATTCCAGTGTCCCATAATCATTACATCCAGCAAAGAGATTAAAAAAAAAAATGGCAACCCTTCCACAACAATATGCAGAGCAGCAGCAGCCGCCGCCGCCGGCCATCGCGTACCCAGACACGGCCCACTCGAACGGCTCGTTCGGGACGGTGTTCATCGTCCTGGCGGTGATCATCGTGGTTTCGGCCGTGGCCTGCTGCCTGGGGCGGGTGTGCAGCAAGAGCAAGCACGGTGGGAAGGAACATAAACAGGGGAAGAAGAAGAAGGACAAGAACAAGCATCAGAATTCTAAGGTGGGCCAGAGCGACGATATCGAGTTCGGGTTTGACAAAGGTGGTGGTGGTGGGTTTCCTCCGATGGGCCGCCCCGTTTTGGGTAAGCGAGAAGGGCCTAATGGGCCTCATTTTAAGCAGCCTTCTGCTGCTGCTGAGAGCAATCATAATGGGCCGTATTTCCCTTACGGGCCTCCTCTTCCGCCTCCGCCGGCGAACCACCAGCAGAGTGTTCACCGCGGCGGTGTGAATGGGATGACGACGATGAACGGAGGTGGGCATCAGCAGAAGAACGGGTACGGTGGCGGTAACCATAACACTGATTTCAAAGGTTACGGTCGTTATCCCACCATGGAGTTTCATGATGGCGAGCCTCCTAGGCGTTAATTAATGAATGGGCGATTGTTGTTTGGGGTAATTAGTGGATTTTGGGGGAATCAATGAAAGGATTTCCGATCTCAGTGGGATTAGTTTTATATGGAAAAATTGGGGATTTCATTCTTCTTGGTTGGGTCTTTTTTTTTCCCCTCTCGCTTTTAAGGTTCCTTCCTTTTTACTTTCTGGGCATCGTTAACCACTTAACCTTTGTTATTAGTTGTAGGCTTGTAGCTTAAAATGTGTAATTACAGAAGCAGAATTTGCTACTAACGGCAACTTGGTATGGAGTAAGGATCTCCTTCCCTGAGTTTTTATTTGGGGATGGCAAGTAGGTGTCAAGGGCGGGTTCGGGTTGGGTTCAATCAGGTTTGGGTTCATTGAGTTCGGGTTCATCGGATTCGGGTTAGTCGGGTTGCGGGTTCATCTAGTTCGGGTTCAATCAGGTTGCGGGTAAATCGGGTTACGGGTTCATCGGTTTTGAGTTGGGCTGGTTGCGGGTTGTTTGGGTCAGCGCATCAAGTAACTTACTCCTTACTCATTACCAACTTACACATTTTATTACACTAATTTAAAATATTTTTCTCAATTGTAACCAATTTCTTTCTAACTCGTATATATACTTAATTTAAAAAAAAACTAGTCAAAATGTTGAATCAATTTATATGACTTGCAAACTTGTTATGTAATTAATCGTAATTGGTAAAGTACACTAGCAAATAGTAATGGTTATATCAACATTTGCAACCAAAAGACACCATTAATTATTTCTTTGGTATTTTAATATTATTTCAGTGGCAATTGGATTAGAGAATCTCGTTTAATATAACCATGCAAACCTTGTATTTAACGTGTGTTATTTGGCAAAATCATAGTGGTAAAAGGATTTATTTCGAAATAACTCATTGCCCTAATAACTTCAGTAAACTGTTGTCAAACGAGTTATTTGTAAAATTGTTCGAATTACCCTAAAATTGAACTATTAAAGATTAACTATCAAATTTAGTAAAATTGGTGTGACTTCAATCATAACTTACACAATAACATATATCATATACACTAAGTCTTACTCTCAATCGACAATATTAAGTTAATATATGGTGTTGATCGTATACCCTAAACCATCAATATATTATACACTAACAACATATCCTATACCCTAATCATATATCCATATGAGTTGTGATTTTGCTAGTAAGTTAATTTAAAGTGAAACTCGTACTTTGATTTTCGAAAGATAGGTAAAAAAGTGATATTTGCTATACTCTAACCATATATCTTATACTCTACACCATACACCCTGTACTCTAACCACGTAACATGAACATAAATTAAAAAGGGATCTCCTGTCATTAAAGATTTTAAATGACTTCAAGTGAACATATGTTAATAAAAAAACTTAGAACCGTCAAAACCATCAATACCTTATACCCTAACCATATACACCCTAAACCATCTGTACCTTATACTTATATCCTAACCATATACTTTATACCCTAAACAAAAAACGTCAAAAATTATTTATCAAGTTTAGTATAATTGTTGGCTCATATTCACCCGCCCATAAATTCTCCATTCCAAAGTTCTCATCCAAACAACCCTCTCATTTTCCATTCCAAAGTGACCCGCACTCGATTAACCAAAATTTTCAAACCCGCAACCCGACTGAATTATTGCAATAGTAAGACTTAACATGCCAAATTTAACACCCATTTTGAAATGAAAGTTCAACTTGAACACAACATAAATGTGCGAAAATTTACTAAGTATTGTAAAGTAACGATCATGTAGTCTTGAAATTGCAATAAATGTTGAAGTATAGAAAACAAGTAGACAAATTAAGCGAATTTGTCTAAAATAAATGATTGTTATAAACACCAAATTTGTTTTCTTCTTTCATTTTCACAACAAAAAAAATTAAAATACTAAAATTCACCTCCTTTTTTCTCCTTCCATAAACTAAAAACACTCAATTTTCCTCTTTTTTTCATAAAATTGAAAGAACCAAATTTTCCTCCTCTTTCTCTTCCAGTTGAATAACCAAATATCCCTCTTCCTTACTTTCACAAAAAGTTGAAAACTCAAAATTTTCCTCCTTATTTCTCTTTCATAATAAAAAAAACCAAACTTTCTCACTTCTTCACTTCCCACAAATCAAAACCACAAAAATTCTCCTTTTTTCTTTTCTAAAAAATTCAAATAACCTTATCTCCCTCTTCTTTCTCTTTCCAAAAAAGTTGAATACACCAAAATTTTTCTATTCTTTTAAAAGCATCAAATCACCAAATACATTGCTTTACTTTATTTATATTTAATTAATAACTTTATTGAATAGTTAAATTAACCAAATTTTTAATTTATATAGCACATTAATATTGTCTATGATCTTAATTATTCATTATTAATATTCACATTGTGCTGATTTTATATTTAATTTTTTTTATTTTATTAAAGAACTTAGTGTTCAAGTGATCTTCATGTTTCAATTTTTGGAATTTTCTTAAAATACAATATCAAGTGAATTTCATATTTTTAAATTTCCTATACGAAATGAAGAAATAATTTTACCCAAGTTTAGAATGAAAAACTTTATTTTGAAAAACTATGTATTATATAATATAATAATGACTAGGTGAACTTCGGGTTGAGTCGGTCGGGTTGCAGGTTAGTTGGGTTCGGGTTAATCGGGTTGCGAGTTTAATCGGGTTGCGGGTCAATCGGATTCAGGTTAATTGGGTTGCGGATTAGTCGGGTTGCGGGTCGGACGGGTTACGAGTTATTGACTTTTAGTCAATTCGGGTTGCGGGTCGAGTTGATCGGGCGGGTTAGTCGGATCGGATTCTTTTTTGGCACCTATCAGAAAAACCCATTCCACCTACTGGATCTCATCCGGCCCAATCCATTTTGAGTTGACTTTTACTCCATTTGTGTTCCTCGATAGCGTGGGTCTTGGCCCAGCTTGACCATGAACCAGGTCTAGCTACCATCTTCATTGGGCTTTTCACGCCATGTAACACCAGTACGAAATCTCCACGCCTCATGTTTTCAATATATTCCAGAAGATTGTCCACTCTTATAAAGTAGGTCTCGCAAACGGTTCGGTTATAATTGGAATCGTTTGTAGATTCTCGGTTAACCATTCAATTGTTTGTACTTACCATCATCTGCAACTTTTATACTAGCCGGTTAACCATGATCGAATAGTCGGTTCTTGACATATTTTGTCGGTTAACCGGATAATAGTTAAGCAAGTGATTCGACAAGATTATACAAAAATAACTAATCGGTATCATAACCAACAGAAGACCTCCTCCTTTTTTCAATTGTGCATATTTGTAGTTTTTTTTCCCTTCGGATGTGATCTTTATTTTTTCATTTGTTGTCACTCAATAAAAATTAATTTAGCATAAATATCAATAAATAATCAACTCAAGTACACAATAATAACATTATACCGTCAAATTTGATTAAAGAGACAGACAAGAATAAGAGACCCACAATAATTATTTCACTCGTAAACCCCACCTAATTACATTGAAGGTTAAATGTTACCGATTGAGGTTGAGCTATTGTGCGCAAGTTCGGCTTTCTATTGTGATCCTTCTACAATCCTTTCTTCAAATTATTCTCATTTGAAGCTAAGGCACTGCCACTAGAGTCGGTAAGGGATCTTGTAGGCCTTCAAACATCACATGACTTTCATTCCGTGCATGCGGCTCATTGATGCCTATAATTTTCGATCCTAATTATGAGGATGGACGTAATCGATGAATTATGTTGCCATTGGTTACTAACTCTTTAACCATTAATTAGTAATTAGCTAAATTTGACTATCAAAACTGATCATTTACTATTTAATCAATTATGAGTGTAACCATTACCACCAATACCAGTTTGTTGCAAATTACACGACTAACAGGATAATCATTTACAGGCTAACATGATAATCGCTTGCAGGATAGCCGCTAGAGGATAACCATTTACCGTATTCGTATAATTAATGAGTTATTATTATGAAATTATTATGGCAAGTAAGTCTAGTAAGTATAGATTAAAAAAATTGATTGCCTATATTGCTGTCACCAATAAGTTTCACATGGTTTGTGCCGCAAGTGTTGATCGAGTTACTCTACAATGAGTTTGTGTGGGCTTACAAAGGCTATCTGATATGAAGTCGTGCTCAAAACTCTGGCTTAGGATAGGGTCAGTAACCATTGGTTACTGACTTATGAGTAACTAAATATGGACCTTTAGATATAAGTGGGTCCAAAAAATCCAGATCTAAGAATTGTCAATTAAAGATATTTTATTTTCTCTAGTTTTCTTAATCGGCTTTTATCTTCTTCGTTCTAACTCGTATTTCAATTTTTTTTTGCACAGATGGAACGAGTTCGTTATGCTCTACAAAATGAGATCAATTTTCAATATATTTCGAGAAACTTTTTTTACCAACTACATACCATATGGTAACTTCTTCATTTTTAAGTCGTTTTTGAAAACGTTTGCTCAGAAGGAACGGGTTCATCATGATCTATTGGATCTATAAATTTTTGGGTGAAAAAAATAGTGGACAAAAAATTACCATACTTTACCACTATGGTATGTGGATGCTAACTTGTAGTGAACAATGATGAAAGTCGTAAATGACAGTTAGTATACTCCTACTATCAGGTATTCAACCTTCTTACCATATTGGTATGTTCATACCATCATGGTACGCTTTCTTACCATATGGTAATTAAATAGGAGCATACCATATGGTAATGACAGGTAAAAAATTCTTCAATTTTTTTTTGTACTAAAAATATATCAAAGTGAATATCATTTTAAAGAGCACATTTAATCTGATTTATTTGTGCAAAAAAATTTAAATTTCGACTTAAAACGAGAGAGAAATCGTCCATTAAAGATTAAAGGAGAAAACATAACAGACTTTCCTAGAGAGAGATGTATACTGATGTCATCCTGATGTGAACGGGTTATTCATGGTTACTTATCATAAGATTACTTGATACCTTCCCATAACTCTTCACTCATGAATCAAAAGGTAACTATCAACTGATGTTTGTAATAGAAACACAATGGCCAAACAAAACAAAACAAAAAAAGAGAAATAAGTCAATAATAACTCCTATTAGACGAAAAAATATAAAATTATTAAGTAACGTTTATCTTACTCTAAAAGGTGCTCCTCTCCCTTGGGCAACAAGTAAATTGTCTCAGATGTGTAGAAATGGTCTTTTTCCATGTACGAGGAGAACTTCCTGAAGAAACAAGGCCCTTCCCCAAGAGCGGTCTTAAAGGCTAAGCAGAGATTGGACAGAACTACTTACAAAAATCTAGTTGTAGATGGCAACATTACCAACTTTGATGGCCATGTTCTAAACATTCTCTGGGTTGAGGTACCATTGAGACTACTGTGTTCCCCGGAAAGTTAAATAGATTTACAACAACTGATCATCATCTTATCTTCCAGGGAAACAAGTATCTTATAGATGATATGGGATACAAGTATCAACAACGAGTTCCATTTGTTTTCCTGAATTGGTCTAGTTTCAGTTTCTTCAAAATCTTGAGTACGATGTGAACTCAAGGGTTTCTTTACAGAACAGAACATACGAGGAAGAAGAAGCAAGAGCAGTTCACAACATAGAATCAGGAGTTTAGTTTAGCACTTGGGTTCAATAACACATGACCGCTGTAGTTTGTTCCTCGTTTTGTATTTTTAGTCTCTACTTCACAATCATCTTGTACTGGTAGATAGATATGTAGGTAGATGATGATCAGGAGAAAACTGCGTTCTGCCCAAAAATTACATTTCCACAAGCTTTCGACGAGCATGGAGGGAACAGAGTAAAGAATGTTGATGCTTGGGGGAGAACTGAAGTACTAGATGGTGGTGCACTTGATTAACATTAGCTTTCTGATTCTTTTTTGCCACCAGAATGAATGATAATTGGAGTGTTTTATCTTCTTTTACCAATTTCTCGACGAAGGTCTGTTAATAGCTCGAGTTTCCAACTCCCCGCTACTGGAGTATTCCCCTGTGGAATTGGTTGTATGTGCTCCGTAAGACATGTCTCTTGTGGAGAAATCCCCGGTGCTGTAACCAAACTCCCCACTGTCGTCTGAACCAAGTGCCATCCTCCTAAACTTCATTATCTCTTCGTTGTACTGGCCGGAGTTATATATCGTGCTTTGTCCATACTTCATCCCGTTGGTAAGGTCTCCTATTTCCTCGTTGTCTAAAGCTCTCACCACCTGCACCATTCTTGGCCTCTTGGGAGCAGAGTGGCGAATACAGGCAGCTGCAGTCTCGATCATCCTCAACATTTCTGCTTCCACGTACCGCTTCTCTAGTCGAGGATCAACTAGTTCACCAAGATCTCTCGTCTCTATCGTGTGCATCAAGTGTGGACGAGCCTGATCATTCACCATACCAATTATTGCCAACACATAAATCATTGATGCACAGAAATGACAAAAGAAACAAAACAATGAAAATTTTGCAATTACCCATTCAACCAGGCTTTCATCACCTAGGGGAAGAGTTGAATCCACAGGCTTCCTCCCAGTTATTAGCTCTAGAAGCACAACCCCGAATGAATACACATCCGATCTATCAGTTAGCTTCCCACTTTGAGCATACTCTGGAGCCAGGTACCTTCAAAGAAATACCACTAGTTGTTGTTAGTTCATAACTTTCATTAATTAGAAGACGATACATGGTTAAGAGACTAGAACTTTAACTACAAAGATTACCAAAACTCACCCAAATGTTCCCATCACACGAGTTGACACATGGGTCTGAGTTGTATCATTCAATCTAGCTAGGCCAAAATCTGCAACCTGGAAATTTTCTAAACTTTTATTGGAAACAAATTAGCTAGCTATGGAGGTAGCTAGGGATGAACACTGATGAAAGCAAGGAAATAAATTAGCTAGCATTTGGTGAGAGTTAACTTGCCTGTGCCTCAAAATCACTACCCAACAAAATGTTTGCCGACTTGATGTCTCTATGAATGATTTTGGGGTTGCCTGCACAAAGAAAGAGAAAAAATTAATTTTCCTTCATAAAATCAAAATCAAACCAGTGGAATATTTCAACGTACGTACAATCTTCATGCAAGTAAGCCAATCCCTTGGCTGCTCCTATGGCAATTTTCAGTCTTTGAGACCAATCCAATCCTGGCCCTTTTGCTGTTGCACACAACAATGAATAACATCACAAACTCTCATTTACGTAGCTTGTTTCCATAGATGACAAGTGAAAGAACAATGATGAATTACCATGCAAGTGATACTCAAGGGTATTATTTGGGAGGAACTCGTAAATGAGCAGCCTTTGCGTATCTGACATGCTGTAACCAACCAAAGATACAAGGTGGCGATGGTGGACTCGGCTAATGATCTCAACCTCGGCCTTGAATTCTCGATCTCCTTGTCCACTTCCTGCTTTGAGCTGCTTCACAGCCACCATTTTCCCATCAGGCTGCCACCCTTTGAATACACATCCGAACCCACCTTCCCCGATTATGTTCTCACGAGCAAATCCACGCGTCATTTCCATAACATCTTCATAGCTGAAGAAGGACTTCCCTCCTCCAATAAGCCCAGAATCTGGCCCGGAGCTCATCCCTCTCTGGCTTCCCCCGTTCCCAGACGCCCCTGAATGTTGTTGTGACCCATAAGAGTTATTTTGGCTAGAGTAACCCATTGAATGTGGAGCACCTCCTTGTCCGTAGTAGTATGGGTCTGTCCGAGTACGTAGTTGCTTATCTTAGAACATAAACATACTAAAAGAGAAAAATTGAAGTGAAATGAATCGAAGGTGTCAATTGCTGGCTAGTTGTTACCCGATTGTTGCATTGAAGAGAAATTATTGGGGGGAGTCATGTAAGGAGGAGCATAAGGAGGGCCATGGTGTCTCTTATTCTTCTTCCGAGTAACGATGATGACTGCTATCAATGCGATGAGTATTACGCTCACCACCACTGTGCTTGCGACAATTATAGCCGTCGTGGCCGAATTCCCATGTTCGTGCCCATAACCTGTGTTCCCTGAATTTTCCACTGCTTTTGAATTGGAAGACGAATCAAGCGAACCAGCTTGGGTTGATGAAGAGGAACGCATATTTCCGTGAGTTGAAGGGCCATTTTCGGAGCCATACTGACCTGATGGGGATTCAATTGTTGGGGGAGGATGGAACCCTGCAGAATTTAGCGGTGATGGTGCAGTTGTTTGTGTCCTCGGAGCAGGTGGAGAGTCGTCGTTGGAAGGTGTCACTGGACTGGGTTTATCCTTTGATTGTGGAGGTGGTGATTTCTCACTGGTTTGTGGATATTTCTGACTAGTTGACGGCGGAGGCGACTGGTTTCCTGAGTTGGAAGTTGGCAGAGGAGGAGAAGGGGTTGGAGAATTAGACCCAGATTTTTGCGGAGGGGGAGACGATTTTGCCGGCGGTGATTTTGATGACGAAGATGATGGTGGCGGAGGGGGTGGTGATGCTGGTGGTGTTTCGGAGTTATCTGGAGCCACTGCAGATCCTTGATTATTGCCAGAATTTGATCCAGGTGGTGGTGGCGGTGAAGTGTTGCTAGTTTTGTTACTATTTTTATTATTGTTGCCGTTATTGTTGGTGTTATTGGGAGGAGAGGCATTCGAACCCGAATCGGATCCTTCATCACCGGAAGATGACGTGGAGCCATCAGCTGGCGGAGGAGGGGAAACGGTGGTAGTTTCTGAACCATCATCTGTGGAATTATCCGCCTTGACTACCACTGAGAAATGTCGTTTAAAACTCGGCATCTTCGCCGAGTTTGACATTGTATATACTCGTTGAGTACTCGTCGTGCTATTCCTAAATTGCTCTTTACACGCTGTAGCTATGGTCGTCTTCTATTCTCTTTTTGCCCCCAAAAACCACTTCTTTTCAGGAGCAAATTATCAAACATGTAACATGAAATTATCTCTTAATTTTCATTCTTCGACTTCGTCATTTCTTACAAAAAACAAAGAATGCAGAGTCGGAAATTTGCCAACCATAATAGAAGAGATGGCAGAAAACATAAGGAAGGAAGAAATTTGTTGTTGTGGGTTTCTGTCAATGGTGGTGATGAAGTTTGTTTCTTGTTGTTTCATTCACTCCACCACCCTATCTATGTTTCTTTCTATTGCCTCTTTTTTTTTTTCTCTATTTCAGTTTTTCGTTTGTTAATTATTTGCTCATCCATGGGTTCCCCTTCCCTTCTCATCCACAACTATGATTTGGAGGATGTCACGATTTTCTAACCGCCGGCTCTTCTTCTCTCAATCTTTCATAAATTTTCTATTACATTCTCTCTCCCCTGGTTTCTCGGGTTACCGCGCAAATTTAAAATGGGTTAAACCAATTGGTTGCTCTCATGATTTGTGCACAATTGTTTGGCACCTTACCAAAGGTTTCAAGTATTTGCAGCCTAGCACCTTAATTTTGGCCTATAAAACAACAAGCAACTATTCTCGAGTGATGTCATTTTATTTATATTTTACACACACAAAAATTGTTGGATATTGGCCTCGAGATTCGAACATAGGATGCTCTCATTTGCACATTACGACTTGGCCAACCCTTGGGGTTCACACTAAAATATTTTATTATAATAGGTTGTCAGTAATTTTACAATTTTATTTCGATACTGGTCACTCTTTGTCTCGTTCTACTAAAAATCTTATGTGGTAGTCAACAATCTTAATTTGATCGTCAAGTTTAAGACATGACAATTACAAAATGTGAAACATAATTATTTTTAATTACTCCCTCATCTCCAAAAAGTAAAATTCAACAAAAAAATAATGGGAGACACAATATTAATGGCCGGATCATGGCATTGGGGACCATTATAGGGGTGAGTAGGATACGAGAGGAAAGAAATCAGGTAAACGCGAGGGGTTCTATAGATGATTCACTAGTAGTTTAAAATGATTAACCATGGACCACTAGTACTTTCACTTTAATATTCGGTCTGATTTTGTTGCTCCTTGCCAACAACACTAATTTTTATTTTGTTTTGGGCATCAATTAAGGGTCTCTGAAAATAAATTTTTTGTTTTACCATGAAAACTCATTACGATCAAGGACTCAAATTCACGATTTTTATCCAGGAACCTACAAAATGTCCCCCATCCAATAACAGTCGAGGGACCCTAGGTTATATACTAGTTCTAATATATAAGAGTGGCCTTGACCTACCAACACGTCTTAAGAAATGAATGAGTGACAAGGACCCCGATCTAAGTCGTAGGATTCACCGAATCTGTATAAGGCTTCATCCTACCTATGTAAAGATGGTTTGTGTGCCTCCTTGGAGGACTTGCTATGAATTTTTAGGAGATTCTCACCGCTCCTACAAGGGTTTCTATAATCTGGTCGCATCCCTCATAATGGACATTCTATATAAAGGAACTTTGATCGCCAAGGATTTTATAAATTGTAGAGGGCTTCTCTCTACCTCTGAAGGGACACTACAGGAAAACGGGCTTTATGCAACACTCATCCTGCAACACTTTTCAGAAGTGTTGCATAAAATAGGTATAGGGCACACTTTATCTAAGTGTTGCTTAATATATATCTTATGCGACACAAATTTACAAACTTAATTTTCTTGTCGCATAATCCTAATAATATACAACACTTGTGCAATAAGAATAATTGTGTCGCTTATTCTTATATTTTAAGCAACATTTTGATACCTACGAATGATACCAATATTATTAAATATGACATATGTTAGCAAAGTTACTAAATATGTGGTTTGAAAACTTATTTTAGTGTTCATTATGACTTTTTCATTCATCATGCCATTGTAATACCATTTATTAGTTATGTAGATTTGAAAACTCTAAACAATCTACTTCCTAAGAGTTAAGCCCAAAAAAGTTTACTGGAGAGAGGAGGATAAAAATGAAAATTTTCTATTTATTTATTTCCAAAATTTATTTAATTTCTTTTAGCCCCGCCAATCGGTGTTTAACTTAGAACAAGGTAAAGTAACACTATGATTTCCAGTTTTACGAGTAATATATGTTACATTTCAAATTTAACTTATAACTATAACTAAAGAATAAAAGATATTCCTTTTGCTTGGAGTTAAAGAGGAAAGAAAAGGCTTAGAAACTTAGCATTAAAAACTTAGAGATTTAAGAATCCAAAGTTTTAAAAGAAAGAAAAGTTCCTCGCAATACCTCTTAATAATAAAGGAAGAAAATCATAATATAATTAAGTATTATATTTTGTCAAACTAGGATATATGCTGCGCTCGTATCTTAAATATCGTAGTCTAATTTCACTTTGGTTTTTACTTAGGGTTTCCTTTACTTTATGTGCCGCTATGATCTCACGCCGCCATTATTCTCCATACAGATCGGGATCTCGCAGCAGCACTCATCAATTCACTCGGAGTATTCTAGCTAGTAAGACTTTCGTTGCTTTGCTTCCGATCTATTATTATGTGGTATTTATTTTAATTTTGTCATCGGCTTATAGATGGCAGTGATCAAGTCCCAGATCAGCGGATGATGGACATACAATCAGCTTCCGGAGACAAGAAAGCGGCAGAGGGATTGCTCAAACAGTAATATGAAGATATATGGAAGACTAGAAAGTCAAGTTGGGCGCCGGAGAAAAGGTGAAATCATTATTGTAATTTCTCGGTTGATTTTGCTCTTTCTCCATTGTTGTTTCTTTTGTAATTTTTTTTATATCTAAGATGTATGTTTGCTTATCTTTGTTGATTTTAGGGGTTGTCGTCAAGCCCTAGCTCAACCACTCCAACAGCTAATAAACACATATTTCTCAAGAAATGGAGGATGATAAATACTTGCATGTCTAGGGGGTGATGAAGATCAGTTATTCAACATTGCAATTTTGATAGGCAACTCTGTAGAACTCATTGTTATTAAAATATGTTTTGTGATTGGTCTAATAGAGTTTATTAGTTCTTGCAATACTTTTAGTGACAAATTTCTTTATGTGTTTCTAGTTTTTGTCAACGAAATATATATACGTGATAACATTGTTATCACATACAATATAAATTTCTTGCAATCCACAATCATCATTGATATTTCCATACTTGACAAAAATATTGTTTTGGTGACAAATACACAATTGTTTGTCACCACCGTTATTGCGGTAATAACACTAATTTTGCCACAAAAACATGATATTGTGACCAAAATACTATCACAAAAGCCTCTTTTTGCGATACAAAGACTACCGAAAAGGTGACGAATTTGTGACAACCAAACTGCTAACAATTGAAATACATTTGGTGATGGAAAAAGTCATCACAAATGTGTAGTATTTTTACAAGCAAAAGTTGTCACGATTGAATACAACTTATATGATAATAAAAACTGTCACAAATAAAGCATATATATGTTGGGTATACTTATTGAAAAGTGTTGCATAAATTATTAAGGTGTTGCCTAAATTGTTGTTGCATTAGGGGTATACATATGCAACACATAATTTTGTTGTTGCCAAAAGGTAAAAAAGTGTTGCATATTACTTTATACAACACCACTTATAGGGGACACCTCTAAAAGTGTTGCATATTGCATATACAACACTTTCGATACTTCTTGCAACACATTACAAGTGTTGGCAAAGACCACTTTTCCCGTAGTGGGAATTTTCGGTCTAGCTATCCCATCTAGGATGAAAATTACTGTACAGGATTAGATGAAGATGAAAGATATTCACGCCACCTTAAGAATGAGAACCTGGTGAATGATGAAGGGATTCACACTACCTAGTTGAAGGATTTGTTGAGATGACAAAGAATTTAATCCCGCCTCATAAGAGGATTTTATGTCTACTCGGAAGAACTGCCAACAACGCCCTCTGAATCATAGCTAGGGCATAGGAGACAAGGCTTTGGTTGAGGGGTATGAGATCTCACCCTATCTCTGATGGCGAATAGATAGTGGGGAGTCCATCATTCAAACTAGGAGGCTCTCAATCCTAACAAATTATCGAGATGCAGTTTTAACCTCAGGGTGGTTGAGAAAGACTCGTCTTGTAAGTGAGGGAGAAAATTATGTCTTTGCTCTCATCATCATGAAAAGGCTCGGGATTTCCTCGTCAGCGCAAGAGATCCCCAATGGGAAAGTACTCTTGTGAGTTGTCAAAATGTAGAGCAAAGTCTATTTAAACTCCAATAATGTGATAACTTATTGTGTGTTTCAAAGGAGGAGGGGAGACTCCCTATTTATAAAAATCTTGGGAGTCCTTCTCCCTGGATTTTTCTCCTTTGGACACAAATAAGGGTTAGGTCTATTGGTCTTACCACTGTTCTTCAACCTAAAGGTCTCAAGTTCAAATCTCTTAAGTAGCACTTAACATTAAAAAAGGTTAATATATTTGTCTGACCCGAACTTTTCTCATATTTAACATTTTGGCCAATTATTTTGGTATTTAACATCATGGCCCAACTAAACCTACACATTACTAATTTGTCCAAACTCGAGAGTTGATCGTTAGTTTTGACGGTCAAGGTCGTTGACTAACGGTCAACTCGCCACGTCACTGCCCAGTCAGCATTAATAAACTTAAAAAATTCTAAATTTCATATAATTCCATATAACCCCAACCAAAATCCCATACGTCCAGGCCGCCGTCGTCTGTACCAAGGCCTCCGGTTATCAGCTCAAGACCCGGAGGTTATGCCTTTCTCTGATAGGAACAACGCTCCTGGCATCACTCGAGTTGGCTGACAGCTAGAAGATTGTGGACTGCAACAATGGCGGGCGAGGGGAGACTTTGAGGGTGGTGGAAACTTGGGATACAGGAACAGAAGCATGTGAATGGGTTATCGGCTTGGAATTCAGTGGGGTTGGGTGGGAAGGAGGAGGGTGGAGGGGTGGTAAAATGGCCTTAGTTCGTACATGGTGATTTCTGTCTTTTCTTCCCCCTGAAAATTTCAGTTGGAGGGGTTTCAACTTTTTGTAGAATGAGGTGAAGAAACACCAAAGTGTGGGATTTTGGTTGGGATTATAAAAAAAAGTTTTGCTTCTTTTGGTTGGAAACTAAAGCTAGCAATTGCATGCTTCTCACAATTGGCCATAAACCAAAATTGATTAGTAAGAAAGGTGTGACCAAAAGAGGAAATAGTTTCTCACATACTCAAATGTTTATATGTCATAAATCATAACTAAGGTTCAAAAATGCGCAAGGCATAGAGATCTTGCGCCTAGTGTCTAACTCTCCTAGACGTCACCTAAACGTGTCTAGGCGTTTGAAGAAAAAGTTATAGTTAGTAGTTAGTGCTAAATGAAGAATGAAATTATTTTTTTAACAACACTTCTACGTTATTTCAAATGATTAATAGCTTATTTAGAACTTAACAATAAGTAAAATAAATCACGAGTTCATAGAGTCACAACTCAATAACTCACAAAGTTCTTGCGCTATTGAAAATATTGAGATAAAAGATTGTGTTTGTAGATAATGTTTATTTCCAATTTTGACATTGAGTACACAGCTCTGCATAATTACAATGGATATCACCTTACTTCGGCACCACATTTTGGAATCATAACTCGTTGTGGAACCCCTAGACCAGGTGTTTAAACATATATATTTTTCTTGTTGAATGACGTTTTAACATTGCCTAGTGCCTAAATACGTCTAAAAGTAAGATTCAATTCATCCTTAACGATGTTATATTTTTGCTCATGACTGATAATGGTGACCCTCATCTAATATATTTTCTCTTACTTTGAACCTTCATTATGGCAGAAAATAGAGAGGGCAATATGTCCCTAATTGCATGCATGTGACATGACACTTATTTGGACACTATATTACTTTTCATTTACTTTATGCATGTAAGACAAGACATCTAAGGTTACAACACCGTCTATTGGCTCTTTGCATAGTCATGCATAACAATTTATTAGTTAGTCAATTATGTTCCAAATAATACAAGTAAGTGGCTTTGCCTATTATATAAATTATGGAGTAAAAAGTTTAATGTGGTTATGGGTTGGATGGTGACCAGCTGTCAAGGTTGTTACTCCGGTCTAGCATGTTGGCCCGATCAAGCAACTATGTTGCAGGTTACTGATTGGATCGAGGATCAATCCAGTTGGCTTGTTCTTACACATTAAAAAAATATAGGTGTAAATAATATCATATTTTTGGGACTAAAAATATAGTTTAATTTAAACTACGATACAATAAATTTTCATTCCATCCACAAAACCCCCTTCGTCTATTCACATTCCACCGCTCTCTCTTCATTCTCCATTTTCTATAAGCTTTTCTCTCAAAACAAAACTACATTTGCGAACAGAGAACTGTCAGGGGTGAGCGGGGGGGCTAGAGCTTGGTGAATTGATGGAGATCGGAGGGAATAAT